TATATGTATACTATCGTATCCCACACATATACTGTCGTATCCCACACATATACTGTCGTATCCCACACATATACTGTCGTATCCCACACATATACTGTCGTATCCCACACATATACTATCGTATCCCACACATATACTGTCGTATCCCACACATATACTGTCGTATCCCACACATATACTGTCGTATCCCACACATATACTGTCGTATCCCACACATATACTATCGTATCCCACACATATACTGTCGTATCCCACACATATACTATCGTATCCCACACATATACTATCGTATCCCACACATATACTGTCGTATCCCACACATATACTGTCGTATCCCACACATATACTGTCGTATCCCACACATATACTATCGTATCCCACACATATACTATCGTATCCCACACATATACTGTCGTATCCCACACATATACTGTCGTATCCCACACATATACTGTCGTATCCCACACATATACTGTCGTATCCCACACATATACTATCGTATCCCACACATATACTGTCGTATCCCACACATATACTATCGTATCCCACACATATACTATCGTATCCCACACATATACTGTCGTATCCCACACATATACTGTCGTATCCCACACATATACTATCGTATCCCACACATATACTATCGCATCCTGCACCTGTCTGTCGTATCAATATAACGTATTACATTAATTAACATTACAAGAATTATTGACTATCATTATTTCTTGCATACAAATATTTCTGCACCATCCTAAATCCCACTTATCAATATATTGGGGACTGGCATATCGAATTGCAAAATCTCAGAGGATTGCATTGCAAATCGGGTTTCCTTGTAAAAAAAAAATATGAACTTGAAAAATAGAGAACGTGATAAACACCTCCAAAGGATACCCAGTCTCATTCATATATATATCTAACCATATCGAGTGATAAGGCATGTGATCAAATTTTGAGACACACAGCTCTATCCTGTCTGGTTTGACTTACCTGACTGGGCACTCGAGCAGAGATTGTAAACCGAGCCCAAATGTTAATGACCTCGTTTATTAAGGTATCAGATAAATTGTTTATTTATTAATTACTTGATCGCACAATCCTAGTACAGTGCTTGAGATAATGAGCCACTAGGTGGGTACAAGTCACTACCAAAAAAAGGTAATCAGTAGGAGTCCATAGAAATTGGGAAGCGAAAACAAAATTTTCACGACCAGGCAACACTTTTTGGACTCCAGCGGCAGATTTTATCTCGAGGTTTGTTACTTTAGTGGGGAAGCGGAGTGGTGGAGAGTGGAAGAATTGGAAAAGGAAGCAGGGAAGGAAGGTTTGATGGTGATGAGTGAGAGGGAGGTAGAGAGAGAGGCAGAGGGAGAGGAGAAGAGGGTGGTGCTTACCTAAGAGTGACTAAAAGTACAATTAATCTTCTTGTTCTCGGTGCGTTATTTTGTTTTTTTTCTGACGTTGAAGTTCTTTCCCATTTGTTCTTTCCCATATTTGTTCTTTCCCATATTTGTTCTTTCGTGTTGGATGGAGGTGGCTGCCTCAGCGTCTTTCGGTGTGTTACATTTGTTAACCACTTGTACGGAAATTTTTCGTACATTTAATATTAATATTTTAATATTTACGGAAATTAATATTTACGTACATTTCTTTCGACTCATTTGAGTTTTCAGCTTATGCCTATTATCTTGTTTTGTTTTCTCCTTATTCGCCTTGTCTATTCCCAGTATTTTGTATGTTGTGACCATGGCCCTTCTGTTCTTTCCTTTCTCTAAGGTTGTGAGATTGAGTTGTCCCTCATAACTTACCTCATACCTTAGTCCTCTTAATTCTGGCACTTATTGCAGACCACTGCAAATTTTCCAGTTTTGTTTTGTGTTTTACGATGAGCAGATGTCATGCCAGTGCTTCATAAACTAGTACTGGCCTTACATTGGTCGTATACATTGTTATGAAAGAGTTTTCAGGTTTTAAATGTTTGCCACCTTCCCATATGCTGTAAAAGTACCGCCTGTGTGTGTGTGTGTGTGTGTGTGTGTGTGTGTGTGTGTGTGTGTGTGTGTGTGCGTGCGTGTGTGTGTGTGTGTGTGTGTGCGCGCGCGTGCGCGTGCGTGCGTGTGTGTGTGTGTGTGTGTGTGTGTGTGTGTGTGTGTGTGTGTGTGTGTGTGCGTGCGTGCGTGCGTGTGTGTGTGTGTGTGTGTGTGTGTGTGTGTGTGCGTGCGTGCGTGCGTGCGTGCGTGTGTGTGTGTGTGTGTGTGTGTGTGTGTGTGTGTTAGCTCTGGAATTATATCCATTTCCAAATCTTTTTGTTGAAGAGGAGAGAGGGGGAGGGAAGTGTGGGGGAGGGGAGGGAAGTTTGAGGGAAGGAGGGGGGGGGGGGCAAGAGTCGACAAGAGGGCCCAGCCTGATGTAAACAATACAAGCCTCGACTGCCAGACTTTGGACACTGATTCTCTCGATTTTCATTTGTTATTTACATTCCTTTTATCAGTGCATATACATTTTTTATCACTTGTTTTAGATATATTATTTAAATATTTCCCATCATTTCACTCTGTGTGAGAAATATCAACCTCCAGAGGGAGACACACACGAGTAATCAATTGAGAGTACAGAGTGGGAGACAATTTAATAAATCTTCTCACCTGCACCAGCATCCCAGCAGTGGGACAAGACACAGTTCCATCTCCCGCCTCCCTCGGCATCACCTCCATAATTCACTCGTTTTTCGGTCCGGATGTCGTGTTGCCATGGAGACAATGACGCCAGAAGGTGGGAGAAAGCAAGTGATGCTTCGTGTTAGAGGAGAGAGAGAGAGAGAGAGAGAGAGAGAGAGAGAGAGAGAGAGAGAGAGAGAGAGAGAGAGAGAGAGAGAGAGAGGGAGTGAGTTGGGAAGGAGAGTTGGGAGGGAGAGAAGAGTGTGAGCTGGAGAGCTTACTATGGAATAGGAGGAGGGGGGGAAAGGAAGATGAAAGGGAAAGTGAGAGAAAGAGGGAGGTGTGAAAGGAAGAGAAGATGGAGGTGGGTGAGGAAGATAGGGAGATGAGGAAGAGTGTGGGATAGTGAAGAAATGGGTAAGCAAGGAAGAGAGGGAAGTAGGCAGGTAGACCGAACAGCATTAACACACACACAATTCCAAAGACTGAGTGGTGTGAAGTAAGCTTACAAAACCACAGGAGGTGACAACATCTTTCACAGTGGTGAGGCAACATGTGTAGAGAGCAGACTGCTGCTGCTGCTGTTCACAGTTGCTGGCCCACTGATGCATGGTCTTAGATGCACTGGGAAGCAAGCAAGATTCCTAATAATCACTAACATTACACTAAAACCTTGGACAGATGTGACCATGGTATAAATAGCAAACATACACTCACGCGAAGACCAAATGAAAAAGGGAGCTAGACCTTCAACTTCCTAAATAAAAAGGAACAATGTAAAATCACGAGCCTCCTATACGGAAGACAGCGTCCAAGGGGATCTGTACCCTTCCCAATGCTCTCATTCTTGGGTACAAGATACACTTGGCGGTATCTTATCAGTAACCATCGCTAATAACGCTGGAATCTTTAAGAAAAGTGTTTATAAAAGACACAGCAAACCTGTAAACTAATGCATGCCAAGACTTCCAGTCTTGGCAGTCTGCCACAGACAAAATATTATAAATGGAGAAGAATTCTAGTTCCAGCGCTATGGAAAAACTAATTAAAATTCAATTGATACGAAGCTGGTCCACACAACTCTGTGACACTATACGGCTGGAAACATTATTCTTCCCTGCCCATATTAACTCATCCCCCCCTCCCCATATTAACTCATCCCTCCCTGCCCATATTAACTCATCCCCCCTGCCCATATTAACTCATCCCCCCTGCCCATATTAACTCATCCCCCCTGCCCATATTAACTCATCCCCCCTGCCCATATTAACTCATCCCCCCTGCCCATATTAACTCATCCCCCCCTGCCCATATTAACTCATTCCCCCTGCCCATATTAACTCATCCCTCCCTGCCCATATTAACTCATCCCCCCTGCCCATATTAACTCATCCCCCCTGCCCATATTAACTCATCCCTCCCTGCCCATATTAACTCATCCCCCCCTGCCCATATTAACTCATCCCCCCCTGCCCATATTAACTCATCCCCCCTTGCCCATATTAACTCATCCCCCCTGCCCATATTAACTCCCTCATTCCCTAACGTGAGACACCATCTCTCCATACGATAAGTGATTGTATTATCGAAGGGAAATCAAGTGTACCTTGTGATGTGGCTCTGGTGGGGAATCTTGCCCTAATCTGCGAGGGAGGGAGAGTGCATTGATGGATGGAGGAAGGGAGGGTAGAGAGGGAAGGAGGGGGGGTAGAGAGGGAAGGAGGGGGTAGAGAGGGAAGGAGGGGGGTAGAGAGGGAAGGAGGGGGGTAGAGAGGGAAGGAGGGGGGTAGAGAGGGAGGGAGGGGGTAGAGAGGGAGGGAGGGGGAGGGGCGAGAGAATAAAAACTAATGACTCCACTAATGCTCTATATCACCACTAAGTTGCTACACTTGTACAATAGGTTTTAATTCCCGGCTGATGTACTTCATGAATATCTCGCTAATTACACCACAAAATGGTAATTTAATGTTAATTAAACCATGTAATGAGCATTACGAGGTATTAATATTTAGTTAATTTGATCTATGCCAGGAAATAGAGCGAGTGCTGTGGTTTAGTGTGGTTCATGGGCTTCTTTGTTACTTTGGTTGGGGTAGAGAACAGCAGCTGATGACGCACAAATCACAATCGACTTGAGAATGGTTCAGGACGGACCGAAACGTCGTCGTCCCTTCACCTTCTAGGGTGTGGTCTGGTCAACGTCACTTTCATATACCTGGAGCACACCTGGAGAGGGTTTCGGGAGCTCTACTGCCCGAGTCACGTGTGTGTTAGTTACTGCTGTGCGTATGTCTCACACACCTGAACAAGTCAGTAATACACGCTCTTTCATACCTGTCACAGGCTGCCGGGGGACTGGTGCTGGCGCTCAGCATCTGGCTGGCGGTGGACAACACCTCCTTCCTGCTGCTGACGCGGGTGTCGGACAATGAGAGCCTCCAGCAGTTCAACCAGCCCTCCGTCATGGAGCATGGCGCCTACGTCCTCATCGTCGCCGGCGGCCTCGTCTTCCTCATCGGCTTCTTGGGATGCTGCGGAGCCGCCATGGAGTCCAGAGCATTGCTCACAATGGTGAGGACCCTCAGTAAGCTTGAGACACATCTTTTATATCAAGCAGTTTCACTTATGGGCGGTTGGTGACATTTGTAAATTAGTTTGTTCGACGGACCACTTGGGCTGGACGGTAGAGCGATGGTCTCGCTTCATGCAGGTCAGCGTTCCATCCCCGACCGTCCAAGTGGTTGGGCACCATTCTTTTCCCCCCGTCCCATCCCAAATCCTCATCCTGACCCCTTCCCAGTGCTATATAGTCGTAATTAATGCCTTGGTGCTTTCCCTCCTGATAGTTTTGTTCGACGGAACTCCCTTTACATTTCCACTCCTTTGGGTATGCTTAGTCAGTTTTCTTTCATTCTTAATAAGAGTGTGTGTACTTCCCTCCAGTCTTTAATTGTAAATGTTTCCTCACCACAGTACGGTCTGATGATCATCGTTATCTTCATCCTGGAGGTCACCGGAGGCGCCCTGGCTGCTGTTTACAAGACTGAGGTGAGTCTCCACATAGTACAGGATTGTTGATGGGAATCCCACTCCCCCAACATACCCATGCACCCACCCACACTACCCATACACCCACTCACACTACGACACAAACCTACCCAGCTCCTATAGACCCTTCCCTTTTCCGTTTGTTTTTTTCTGGGGAAGGGGGGGGGGGGGAGGGTGGAGTAAAGAGGATGAGACACAGGCGAAGGGAAAATATAGTGAGAGTTATGATAGCAGGCGGGCTGTCCACCTTGCTGACAGTGTGTATTCACTTTGTTGTCTGGGTGCCTTGGTATAGGTAAATAAAGTAGAATACGGGTAAGGAGAGGGGTAGAGAGAACGAAGATACGAAATACAGAACGAATACCCCCCCCCCCCCCCCGTGTTACACGGATCTTCTTACCGCCTTATTTTACACTGCTTGTAGTTTGTGCATGTTGGTTTTCATTAAGATATTTAGTGGTACTGGAGGATATTCAAGATGTGGCCGGACTAGATAAGTGTAGTTATGTGTTCGTGTTAAGACTACGGAATCTTCTTAGATTTCCTAAGTCTTTTTTTGCCTTTTTTCAGTATTCTGTCTGTCTATCCGTATATTTGATAGTATGGTTGTCAAGGATTAATGGGATCTGGGTTTCATTTTGCAATGTGTATTGCAAAATACACATTGCAAATACACGCAGAACGAAACTTTTGTTTATTTGAACACATTTTCCATTGCTTTTCAAGTTTATTAATTCAATTGCTGCCTTGGTTTTGTTGGCTAATAGCAGCTCTGAAGGTCCAGGTTGTGGCATATTATCTGAGTGACATCCTCAGCGTATGTAATGTATCCTCCCGGTTGGGGCAGGTCAGCTGTGTATATTTTTGTATAGCATAGGTGAAAGGCAGATTCCTTGTGGTACTCCATTTTTTCAATTAGATTATATCACCCAAGTAGCTATCGATACTGAGCCAGGCTGTTCTGTTTATAAAACTGCACAAATGTAGCAGCATATCTCTGTGGAAGCCTTAGGCCAGATATCTTATCTTTTTAGGCCGTGTGTGCCAGGCTGTTAAAAAGCTTTGGAGACATTTGTGAGCACTATATTACAGTGATCTTGCTTCGACATTGCATTCGCTACATATGTCTGTCTTAAGCTCAGGACGCGGGCATAGATTTGTGCTGTGAAATATTTATAAAGAAGGCATTGCTATTTGTTCCGTATCAGTTGAGCGAGCTAGCTGTACAGGAGTGTGGAAAGGGGGAAAGGCGTCCCTTTCCACTTCATAATACCCCCCTTCCCACCTCATAATCCTCCCCGCCCCACCTCATAATCCTCCCCTTCCTGTCCGTCACATAACAGACCCACATCGGTGCACTGGTTAATGTGTGTGTGTGTGACCTTGCTACATGAACAGCACATTCTTTGTCTCCAGCGAGATAGAACGCACATTTAGTCCCACAAATGTTAACACACAGTACTCACCCATCCTCTACGAATCTCCCATTCCTTACTCCCCCATCCTCTTCTCCCTCCCTCCCTCCCTCCCTCCTTCTTCTCCCTCTTCTCCCTCCCTCCCTCCTGTCTTGCTATCCCTCATAATTGACAATATGGTTCAGTAAACTCACGTTGATTATAGCTAAATATTAGATTAATCTGACAAATATAAGAGTAAACTGTTGCATAAAACAATAGTGGTAATGTGTGTGTGGGAGTGATTAAGATTCGTGGGGAGATGTTCCTTGGTAGATAATACCTATCTACCAAGGTAGATAATTAATTAATATGATATTATCTGTTATCTACCTTGGTACATAATAGATAATATCATATAATTGTTACACGATAGTCACAGGTACTCCTTGAGACAGTAACAGGTACCCTTGTTACCCTTAGTTTCCCTTAGTTTGCAATAATATGCCACCCTAAAGGGCACTAATATGTTAAAAATTACCATTATTGGTCTGGCATATCTTGTCCAGTCAAGGGTAGTCTGTTACGAAATGTACCTATTTGCCGGCGTATATGTACCTATTTGACCCAAAAATTCATATGTATATAATTATATATATTTTGCATAATATATACAAAAATGCGTCGTATCCACCGGCAAATAAGCTTTATTAGTTGATTATTTAGGTTTAGACAGTGTTCAAAATTTAACATTTTTAAAGGAAGAGTTTTGAGGTAGGTTAAACACAAGGAACATGAAGATTATATTTGTTTATTGTCATGATGTAAGCGACGTGTTGTTAATGTCAGTAATTCTCCCGGCAGGCGAAGGAGGAGCTGCAGAACTTCTTGAAGCACACCCTCAAGCACTACTACTCCACCCACGACCAGGCCAACTCCGTCACCGTCGCTTGGAACGCCCTCATGGGCCAGGTATACACTTGGGCTGGACGGTAGAGCGACGGTCTCGCTTCATGCAGGTCGGCGTTCAATTGCCAAGTGGTTGGGCACCATTCCTTTTCCCTCGTCCCAATCCTTATCCTGACCCCTTCAAAGTCCTGTATAGTCGTAATGGCTTGGTGCTTTTCCCTGATAGCTGTCCTCCTCCCCTCCGGCGAGAATTATCAGGGAAAAGCGCCAAGCCATTACGACTACACAGCACTTGGAAGGGGTCAGGATAAGGAATGGGACGTGGGAAAGGAATGGTGCCCAACCACTTGGATTGACCGTCAACCTGCATGAAGCGAGACCGTAACTCTACCCCTCCCTCCCTCTCCTCCTCCTCTCCCTCTCCTCCTCCTCCCCCTCCCTCTCCTCTCCTCTCCCCCCTTCCTCCCCCTCCCCCTCCTCCTCCTCCTCCTCCTCCCTCCCTCCCTCCCTCCCTCCCTCCCTCCCTCCCTCCCTCCCTCGCCTCTGCATTAACAGACACTTCTTAGTTCCTCGTGTTAGGAGCTAAAGTCGTGAAGTTTGCACATCAAGCTCCAGACTGTCAACATGTAGGTTATCTTGAGATGATTTCGGGGCTTAGTGTCCCCGCGGCCCGGTCCTCGACCAGGCCTCCACCCCCAGGAAGCAGCCCATGACAGCTGACGAACTCCCAGATACCTATTTACTGCTAGGTAACAGGGGCATCAGGCTTAAAGAAACTCTGCCTATTGTTTCTCGCCGGCACCCAGGATCGAACCCAGGACCACAGGATCACGCATCCAGTGTTCTGTCCGCTCAACCGCCGGCTCCCTTAGTAGGCGGGTTAGAGTAGGCATCCCTACAACTAGGCACTCCCGCAATGGAATAAGTGCACGCAAAGGCTCATCAATACAATCATTAAATGAAGAAAGAGCCAAAGCCTCGCGTTAATACGCAGCCTCACCTCGGTCTTGTGTATCTCACTACTCCGGCCAGTAAATTCCTTCCCCCCTCCCAATAGTCTCACACAAACTGCTGCGCGTAAATTCAAGTCCACAATAAGGGTGAATGCAGGCCCCGTATTTTACCTTGTTTGTGAACTAGGTCTGAAAGTCTCCCGGCTCTGTTTATGGATATGGATGGAGACTGACTACAGCACTCACTCCCCACCGCGGCAAAGGAGAAGAGAGGGAATGGTGAGAAGGAAGGGGAGGGAATGGTGGAAAGGAAGGGGAGGGAATGGTGGAAAGGAAGGGGAGGGAATGGTGGAAAGGAAGGGGAGGGAATGGTGGAAAGGAAGGAGAGGGAATGGTGAGAAGGAGAGGGAATGGTGAGGTTATCTATCTTGAGGTTATCTTGAGTTGATTTCGGGGCTTTTTTAGTGTCCCCGCGGCCCGGTCCTTGACCAGGCCTCCACCTCCAGGAAGCAGCCCGTGACAGCTGACTAACTCCCAGTTACCTATTTACTGCTAGGTAACAGGGGCATAGGGTGAAAGAAACTCTGCCCATTGTTTCTCGCCGGCGCCCGGGATCGAACCCGGGACCACAGGATCACAAGTCCAGTGTGCTGTCCGCTCGGCCGACCAGCTCCCCTGAGAAGAAAGGGAAAAAATAGTTTGTGGAGACAGCGACTGTTCATTGAGGGAAATGGGTATATTGAACCGGTTTCTCAACCCCGGTGATTCCTTCACCCCATAGCTATCTATTCCCTCTGTCCCTCTACTGTCTCTTCACACACTGCCTGTCCCTCTACTGTCTCTTCACACACTGCCTGTCCCTCTACTGTCTCTTCACACACTGCCCGTCCCTCTACTGTCTCTTCACACACTGCCTGTCCCTCTACTGTCTCTTCACACACTGCCTGTCCCTCTACTGTCTGTCCACACACTGACTGTCCCTCTATTGTCTCTTCACACACTGCCTGTCCCTCTGCCATCACTTCACACACTGCCCGTCCCTCTACTGTCTCTTCACACACTGCCTGTCCCTCTGCCATCACTTCACACACTGCCTGTCCCTCTACTGTCTCTTCACACACTCTGCCTGTCCCTCTACTGTCACTTCACACACTGCTCGACCCTCTACCATCACTTCACACACTGCCCGTCCCTCTACTGTCTCTTCACACACTCTGCCTGTCCCTCTACTGTCACTTCACACACTGCCCGACCCTCTACTGTCTCTTCACACACTCTGCCTGTCCCTCTACTGTCACTTCACACACTGCCCGACCCTCTACTGTCACTTCACACACTGCCTGTCCCTCTACTGTCACTTCACACACTGCCCGACCCTCTACTGTCACTTCACACACTGCCTGGCCCCTTCATCTGTTTCCCCTCTCATGTCCCCTTGTCATAACACCTCTCCCCCACCCTCAAGCATTTGCTCTGCTCTCCCCTCAACTCCTTCCTCTCAATACTTCCCACAATACTTTCCCCTCTCTCTGTCTGACACCCCTCTTTTCCCCTCTCCGTTTTGCTCACATATACAGGAAAGGGTGTAAGTTTACATACTGGCCTAGATGTGCTTGCAGGATCGACTGTCATCACTTGAGTCCTGTCTTCTGAATTTGAAGAAAAAGGTGCTTCTCCGCGTCCAGTCATGAAGAACTCTGGAATAAATTTACTTCTTGTAATTTTAAAACAATTCGAAAAAGTATATATTAAATTTATAATTTAGTGGTGTCAAATACCAACTTTAAATGTTTGTACAGTCATTTTGCTGAATAAATGTCCGCCCTATTTCTTTGCTAAGAAATATACATAAAAATACCTAAAATATATAAAACAAAAATATATACTTAAATATTTGATGTACATAAACTGTGGTATAGATGAGTTCAGGAGCCTAACGGCTGAGTGGACTGCGCTCGGTATTCATAGTCCTAAGGTTCTGGGTTCGATCCCTAGCAGAGGTGGAAACAAATGGACAGAGTTTCTTTCACCCTCATTCTCCTGTTTAAAAATTTAACCGAGTTTTGGCATTTACAACCTCGACAGGTAGGAAGTTCAATCGGTTTATAATTCTGTGGGTAAAAAAGCATCTCCTGTTCTCAGTCCTATATTGTGGTTTGTTTAGCTTGAAACTGTTGCTCCTTATTCGTGTTACATCTGACTTTTTGAAGAAATTGTCCAGATCAACATCCTCCAAATTGCTCAGAATTTTAAGTTTCAATGAGATCTGCCTTGTCATGCCTGGTTTGCAGTGTTGTTTTCCCAGTAGCCCTCAACTGTTCCTGGTACAAGGGTTGACTTAGCTCTGGAATGATTTTTGTTGCCTGGTGTTGCACTTTCTCCAGAGCAGCTATATCCTTCTGAAGATAAGGTCTCCATGCTTAAATACTGTAATCCAAATGGGGGCACACCAGAGATTTATACAATTGAATCACTAACTTCTTTTTCTTAGTCAAAGGTACGTTTGATTATTCCAAGGGTTTGGTTAGCTTTTTTTGACTGCTGCTCCTACCTGTTGTGCAACTTTCACTGAATGGTGGATTTTGACTCCAAGGTCCTTTATTTAATAACATTATTTTAATATGGTGGAATTTCAGCCATTTTTTTTTTTTTACTGCCAATAATATGTATTTTAAATCACCCACCCATATGTTCATACCAAAGGATGAGTATGGGAGGAGAGCCTTGTGCTTTTCTAGGATATATAACAGGTCTTCTGACTGCTTAATTTTTCCAGCAGATGGCCTTCATATAGATCACTAAGACTAATTAATTAATGCTTAATGTTTTTTCCATGTATCTGTCGTCTCTCATTTTCTCGGACTAATATGCCTCCTCCTTCCAACAGCTAAAGTGTTGTGGGGTGAACAACTACACAGACTTCCAGCAGGCGGCATTGTGGCAGGCAAACAAGTCAAGTGATATCTTGATCCCGAGGGCCTGTTGTGTCCTCGAGGGTGACCCTATCAAGTTCTACCCACTCGACCCCTCTTGTCCTTCCAGCCCTAATCAGGATAACTCCTACTACCTCACAGTCAGTTGCTCTTTGTGTTATTACCTAATTGTAGTTAGAGGATATGCTTGCAGTGCCCTATCTTCCTATGTGTGTATGTGTACGCACTCATGATCACTGTAGAGTGCAGGTACTGTACAGTATTTGGTAAAGGTGAACTGGGTGAGTAAAGAAATTCAAGTGTAATGTACTGTAGTTAGCTGTTAGAAAGAATCGATAGCCCAAATTTTTTTTATACCACATTTTGAAGTATTAGCAGTGTTTGTCCTGGGCACAGGATTCACTTTGCACAATAGATGGACTTTGGGTATCAAATGGCTTTAAAATTTGGACTCATGTTGGGTAGTATCTAGTCAGGTCTGGGGCAATAGCTAGTCAGGAATCTGAAAATTTCCTAAAAATAAGTGAAAAACATTTCCTTAACTGCTAATATATTTTATAACTAAACAATTCTACACATTATTATAGAACAGAAAGGTATTGTATAAGCTTACATGGATTGTGTATTTTGAGGTAGACAAGAATAGGTAGCCTCAAGTTTAGAATTTTCTGCACATTTAATATTGTTTAACGCTTTTTCTTTACTGCAATTTCCAGTACCAATATGAATTCCAAATTGAGTTATTTTTTCTACATGTCAGCATTAGAAAGCAAATTCAGATCTTTCCTATCATATTTGGCCCTATACTGTATCAAGTACAGTATACATATAAAGAAATGCTTTTCCTGCCCGAAACGCTTTGCGTAATAGTGGCTTTAGGCATTGTATGTACTAGCGTTATCTATAAATCCATCAACTTTGTATCTTATCTTGTATGTATGTACCTTACCTGAATAAAAATTTATTTTATTTAATTATTTAGAAACAAAAAAAGGCCATTCAACCTTGAGGTTCTACTTTAACACAATGGTATGATGTTAATCTAAATAATCTTATACATGATCATCTGCATCAACGGCTTCAATATTACAAAAGTGTTGAAAGTGTTTGTACATCACTATATCAGACTTCTTGACCTACTTGCAAGGAAATCACTAACATGTTGTGTCACTTATAAAGAAATAAAAAAAATAATGTGGCTAATGTTAAGTACTCTGTATGTTTAGGCATGTAATGCTTACTTGTAGGACATTATTTTCTTTGTTGTCCAAGATTTTTATATTACAAATGTTCCTTAACTCTAAAATGTCAAAATATTAATTAAATGGCTTATCAGTTGATGTATATAAAAGTTTATTTGCAGAAACTCATGGACTTCATGAGACAGATGAGTAATGTGATGCATGTAAATGTTTGTATTGCATAAATTAATGCTCTCACAATGGTTGGTAAACATGGCCTAATTTCTGTTAATCATTGATCAACAGCAGTTTCTATCTCACTCGATTTTTTTCTAAATTTTACAAATATGAAATATACAGTGTGTCCCGTAAGTCTAAAACCTTTACTCCAGATACTATTCATAGTGTGATTTTTGTGTAGCTGTTGTAATTGTGAATACCTGTACAATGAACTCATTTTATACATAAGATAAAATAAAAATAAAAATAGTTTGTTCTGTTTTGTCATATACTAGTAGTTACAAAATTAAGGTACACCCTGTATATGCAGTTTGTATTCTAACTTCTCTGTATTGTAAAAATTTCTCTATTGTAAAATATTTACATGTGAATTCTGCAGGTCACCAATATGAGCAACATTTTCTCTTATCTCTGCATTTTTGTCATAGTTTTACAGTTATTGGTGATTTCTGTACGCCTCTAATACAGACATTTCTCCAGACCTAATGTTATGTATGGTGATGGTTGCCGTTACAGGGCTGTCTGAGCAGGTTACAGGAGAACACCTTCTACTACTTGACTCCCATGTTGTCTGTGGCCATCTGTCTGGGCACACTGCAGCTAATCCTCATCACACTCTCGTTTTACATGTGTAGGGCCATTAGCAAGGCTCTCAAGTAAGGGTGAACACTTTAGTCCGCATGATCTCACCCGCTCGCCTGTATGCTTGACGTGATTTTATGAAGGATTCTGCAGTGACAAATGCATGGAAATTATATTAAACTAGTTGGATTTAGTGTGATGCATTAACTTGCTTTTGAGTAAGTTTTGTACTTAGGACATATCCAAATATTTGCTCATTACTGTACAACTTTTGGATTGGTGTGACATTTGCAGGCTAGTTTAATGTGATTTCCATTAATTACTTTGTCACTTAAGTACGAGCCACCAAGTGTTTATTACAGTACCTGCTACTACCCACTACCCACCATTCCTCCCTTCCTACCGAGACAGAATACCCTTCATGTAAAGCATTTTAGCTTATCGTATTCACAGATAATGAACCTGTTCAAAGCCAGATTATCTGTGTAAAAGTAGCTTGTTCCCTGCTCAACTTTATTTTTATTGTGCCTGTGGGTAGTCAAAAATTTACTGCATCGAATCAGAAACTATAGAAAGTTTTTATCAGACCTTGCATGTCGTGACTTAAAAATGCATTAATCATTACATGGCCTAGTGCAAGTGATAGAGAGTATGTGAGAAAGTTGAGAGGAGGTATGAGTGTGAGTGTTTATATCATTTGTGCTTGCAAGATCAGGCTGTTAGCTCTTGGATCCCACCTTTCTGTCAGTTGTACTTGCCTATCACTTTGGGCAAGTGAGGTCTAGCTCTTTATGTCCCACCTACTGTGTACATGTGTATGTAATTCCTGTACCCAAGTGTAGTTACAGGATAAAAAATAAACTCATGGTGCCCCATCTTCCCAATACTCTGTCATACAATGCTTTGAAACTAGTAACGGCTTTGACCTCCACCATCTTCTCACTTAACTTGTTCCAACTATCTACCACTCTGCAAAAGTGAAAATTTTCTTATATTTCTTATGCAGCTTTGTTTAGTTAGTTTAAATCTATGACCTCTTGTTCGTAAAGTTCCAGGTCTCGGAAATTCTTTTCCATCACTTTTATCGATCCCCGTTACTATTTTGTATGTAGTGATCATATCGTCTCTCTTTTCTTCTATCTTCTAGTTTGGCATATTTAAGGCCTCTGACTTCTCGTAGCTCTTGTCCTTCAGTTCTCGGAGCCATTTAGTTGCATGTCTTTGCACCTTTTCCAGTTGTGTGTGTGTAATTACCTAAGTGTAATTACCTAAGTGTAGTTACAGGATGAGAGCTACGCTCGTGGTGTCCCGTCTTCCCAGCACTCTTTGTCATATAACGCTTTGAAACTACTGACGATCTTGGCCTCCACCACCTTCTCACTTAACTTGTTCCAACCGTCTACCACTCTATTTGCGAAGGTGAATTTTCTTATATTTCTTCGGCATCTGTGTTTAGCTAGTTTAAATCTATGACCTCTTGTTCTTGAAATTCCAGGTCTCAGGAAGTCTTCCCTGTCGATTTTATCAATTCCTGTAACTATTTTGTATGTAGTGATCATATCACCTCTTTTTCTTCTGTCTTCTAGTTTTGGCATATTTAATGCTTCTAACCTCTCCTCGTAGCTCTTGCCCTTCAGTTCTGGGAGCCACTTAGTAGCATGTCTTTGCACCTTTTCCAGTTTGTTGATGTGCTTCTTAAGATATGGGCACCACACAACAGCTGCATATTCTAGCTTTGGCCTAACAAAAGTCATGAACAATTTCTTTAGTATATCGCCATCCATGTATTTAAATGCAATTCTGAAGTTAGAAAGCATAGCATAGGCTCCTTGCACAATATTCTTTATGTGGTCCTCAGGTGATAGTTTTCTATCTAGTATATAATTAGTATATCTAGTATACAGTGTGCGTGCGCGTGTGTGCGTGAGTGCGTGCACGCGTGTATTCGTGAGTGCGTGCGCAAGATAACTGTGCCAAATTTATTTACTTACTTGAGTGTAAAGAAGACTCGTCTTCTTGCCATTGAAGCATACACCCTGCCTCGTATATTGATTCCTGGTCTTGTAGTCCTTCAAGAGTATTGCAAGTTCAACCACCTGAAAAGGATTTTCAAGCATTTTTCAAACAACACTTAGAAGTACTATCCTTGAAAACAGTATTAAATGATTGTTGAGAACCACAGAAGTCTTCAGCCTTACACCAAAATGTATTACATAGATTTACATACAGTACATTATATACATTACTAGGATCATAATTGTAATCATTAGGAGCAGCCATCTTGGCATATTCAAGACAACTATATCTATAAGACAGCCAATAATCACTACTAAAACAAGACAAGAGAAACAAGACATGGCTACTGAAAGTCTTAATATATTGGGTGCAAGGTTCAAGAGCATGCTATGAGTTCATCTTTTGGGCAGTAGAGAAAAGGTTAGAAGAACATAAAAAGGTGAAAGAACTGGACAGCAAACCTTTGTTTATAAAAGGGTCATGAATCAAAATGCATTCTTTTCAAAGGAACATAATAGGTCTCAAATACCTTCAACTAAAGTAGTGATGAACTGCATTACAATACAGTACAGTACATATAATAGGCAAACCTGAGATGTGATAAGAGGTGGGACACAAACACTAGAGGAGTCACTCATAAACTTAAAGGGATCAAGAGCATGAGTTTTGAAGCTTATTCATGAACAATAATAGGATTGGTTTTGGCATGAGACCTGGATGCTACCAGCATATATATATACTTGCATGCTTTTAGCTAGTTGAAACCTTACCGACAGTTTCACCAAGTTATTTGACTGTGAGAAACAAACTTTAAACCATACAGTATAGAGTAATGCATAGTGAGAAGTCGTATTCAGTTTGACTTACTAATGGTATCTTTAGTCCACAGATCTTTACTGGACAGTGAAATACGAGTGTAATGGAGATTTACATGTTTCCCCTTGTACAGTACAAGAGACAAAAATTATTATAATAATATATACATATATATATTATACTGGTGTAATGTTTAATATACATATTTTAAATAGAATTTTTATATTTTAGAATTTTAGTATGTGTAGCATATTTACTAAACAGATACTGCTTGACTAATTCGGTTCCATTTTCTTCAGGGTTGCTACGGTAGACTGATGCAGTGGGTGGAAAACCACGTCAATGTGCTCATGGGGATTGGCATAGGTGTGGGCCTCTTTGAACTTCTCTCGGTGGCATTTGCCTTCTGTCTGTGTTCCTCTCTGGGTCACAAGATCAAGTGACGCCAGCAGCGGCATGATCACTAGTTCACCACTGACTAGGAACAAATGTGCTGCCGATGATCAATACAGTGACTGACCCATTATGTTAACAATTTTGGGAGGAACAAGAACACGATTATACTGTACATGCACTATGGAAATGGGATGAATGAACAAGACCATATCAGTGAAAAATTAAGTGTTCAACAATAATCCAAATAAATTTTTCCTATTGGTGTTATTGGAAGTATGGTATATTCAACAATTCTTTGGCATTGTCTTCAACTATTAAATTTATTTTTTGTTTTTACTTCAGAAAATAGGTTAAGAATTTGTAGGAAAGTGAAAAATTTTAAGATTTCTATTGTAAATGTTAAATATACATATATTACTTATATCTTCCTGTTGAGTTAAATCTATCAACCTTCCCAGAAATGTGACATATCGTCTAAACTTTCACACATACACACACACACACAAACACAGTACTAGGACTTGGATGCATGAACCAAATATTGGATTGTAACCGAGGTAGAGCACCGGGGAACTCTACCCTAACACTGCTCATTGCCCCAATTTAATTCTCTTGCTATCTGTTTTCTGTGTTCTCTACTGTTTAATAGATCTGTGTATCCTTCAGTTTTTTTTCTCAACATTTGCTTTATCACACTGTTTTCTCACAGCCCACTTGGTCTTCCGATCATCATATTTCACCCAGTGTTTCTTCTTTTCCCATATTAATCTTCAGATTCTATTTCCTTTTGCTCATCAGCCATCATATTTAAACCACCAAATAAGACAGAACAATATTTATCTTCTAATCATTCCCATCATCCGAGTGGGAACTGGACCAAGAATAGTCACTCCTCTGGACCAGCATGTCATTTTCTTTCATACACATGTGATTCCCGAGGTTAAACTATATTATTACACTGTTAAATTTTGAGGCAAATTATATCCCATGTTGTTATATTGTATGCAAGTGGTCCATTAGTATTTTTTATGCAATATAAGGTCTAAGAGACTATTTTTAATGGACCTAGTTAATTTTTATATAGTAGGAGTAATCATATAATTTGCGAGGAACAGTGCACATATAAATATTAACAAATACCTTTCACTCTCTGCTCTATGTAAGAAAACATTGTCATTGATGTGCAACAACCATAAGATATTTTCTTTAAGGCTGCATTTACAGTTTATCTCAGTCAACTACCTCTTGTATGCCAATACTGTATATTTATGTGATTTTGTTATTCTTATATGATGAATGAAGCTCATGGCGACCATTTGTTAAAACTAGGCATTCAGGAGTATATTATATATATATATATATATATATATATATATATATAATTATTATTCACATAATCTCTTATTTCTTCTTTTTTACATAAATGTATAAAGTTGATGTATTAATTGCTGTGTTGTCAGCAGTTGATTATTTGATAAGAACTTTATATTGCATGATCAAGCAATTAGGACAAATATTATTAAGGTACGTACCTAGTAAATTTGTTAAATATGAGAATGGTTTCCAAAGGTGGATTTTTTTCTGTTTTAGTCTGTTCTGGTATATATATATAGCAAAGTAGAACCCTATTTTTTTTTCCAGATAGCTTCAGATTTGTATGATTTACATAGTTGTGACAGATTTTTCTATGTGATAAAACACTTGTAGTATAGCTTGTAAAGTTCTTTAGTATGTAGCAATAATTTATATACAAAAGATTTGATAAAAAATGGATCTAAACAAGAGTAAGACGACAGACAATCTGTGATGTAGTCTTGCTGGGATGAAATATAGTTTGTCTCTAAAACAATGATATATCCAATAGTTTATTGTAGATTACTATAGCATGATGTCTTTTATTGATTACTTTGTAAAAATGCATGTTATGATCATTTTTTTCTGAGCACACACTCCATTTGAGTGTCAATCCAAAATGGTACAAACTTTTGTTTTTAATTACTGCAGTCAAGAGGTTTTAATACCATTTTGACCTTAAATATGTGAGCAGTTATTGTTATCTCCTGTCTATTCATTCATTCATTTATTTGGTGCCAACAACTTCGTATTTATGGTGCCATACAAATGATTTTTTTTTATGAGTCTGTCCTTCTCTGAAGCATATAACATTTCTTACCCCTAAAGTTTAATTTATTCCAGTCTCAACAGAGGTTTATTACATTTGACAAGTTTTGTTTAAATTCAATTTGTGTCAAGTCCGTTACAAATACATTTGTCTAAATATAATTAGTTTCAAGTGAATTACCCATATATTACAACTGTGTTAGGTTTCAGGGCTGCCACAAAATTATTAAGCCACAAAGTTATTAAAGGATGTGAAATGTCAGTGATAGTGAACATGTTTCTGTTAATGTATATTCCTGAGTGTTGACTACAGAATGGTGAGCACGTCAAATCATTTTATAGATGCATTATTATTGAAGGTTATAGGGTTCCCCCCCACCCCACAACACCTCAACAGTCCTCCCCCAAACACACTTTAGAAAACCACCTGCCTTCATGAGGCCAGTACTAGAGAGTGCCATGCCAACAAATCTCAGAACAAGAAAATTTGCTACAAGGTTGGTACCAGAAATATAGCTCAGTTGGGAGGAAAGACCAAGGAAACTGAACCTTAAATTACTGTACTGGAAAAAAAGATTAGAACAGGAGGGACCTGATCACAGATGAACAAGATAGTAAGAAAGAATGCATGGACAAGGATAAAATATTTACTACAGGCAGAAAAAAAAAACAAGGAGTATAGATAACTGCTGGAATAACCTAATGAGAGACATTAGGAAGCACACTTTCAAGGTTACGAATAGCAACCCTGGATCAGAGAAGTGTTAACGAAACTTAATTCAACCAAAGTTTTATTAATAGAATTGTCAAAGCACAAGAAGCTTGATAGTTCACATCAACTGACAGCTAAGAGGCAGGGCCCAAGAGTTGGAACTCATGCCCTTCAAGTAAAAAAAAAAAAAAAAAAAAAAAAAAACACAAATTTCCCTTTCATCCCAATCTTAATTTTTGTTTCATTCAAAAGACCTCTCTACTGTGCCTATCTGTTCTTTAACCCACACCCACTTCACATGGACACTTACCTGGTGTGTGCTCTATTGTCTTTCACCTTTGCTATATATCACTGAATAGACTGACATGAATAAACATAATTACCAAAGAAACGGATACAGATACAGTAACAAGATAAATGAAAACGAAGGTCACTTGCCTATGTTAATGTTGCTGTTGACCGTATGGAATATTTTTACTTGGAGACCCCACAAGGTGTATCGCATTGTGATTGTAGTGTCTGTCCGCACTACCTCTTGGAGGAGTTGTGGTCATATTGGCTCCACTGTGTCTTGAAGATGGTGTCACAGTGACTGTACTGCCTCCTGAACGTGTTGTGGATCTACCGAACAGAGAAGATGACTTTACATGTGCAACATAAACATTTTAAATGTGATGTAATCAGTTGACATGCATTGTTTGTCATATACTTTGATAAAAACAAATCTTTAAACAGTTGATTAAATGTACTAGTGTATTCAGATATCTTTCATAATAAAATTCTGTTAATATTATGGCCTCCAGTATAATTAGCCTTTATTAATACTGTATATATATAATTGTATAATGATCAGTCAATGTGGTTGATCAAGCTATAAACCTTGTACATCCTCAAAGAAAGTAGAAAGTCTAAGTAGATGGGCAGCAGGAATAAAATGTGGTATATGGGCTGAGTTTCTGATTTTAAATATACTGTATAATTATTGTTTTATTGCACAAAAAAATCATATTAATGTAATGTATCAATGAGAAAACAAAAGGAACTACAGTATGAGGATTTGAATCTGCACTCTGGGTACTCCCAGAGTGCAGATTCTGGGAATCAATTCTGTTAGTGGTCAGCCACAAATGGACTTCTTCTTAGTTCAGTATACACTGTGTCATTTAAAATAAGTAAGTTGGCATGGGAGAAAATAATTCATAACAATTCAATGTGTCGGGGGACAGGTAACCAGTATGTGTCCATACATGTTAGGCTTATATCAAGGCTCCCCCCACCACCTGCAAGGTCAAATTACTAACCCCGCCCAAGATTCAACCCCATAACAAGCTGACTAACTCTTGAGTATCTACTTACTGCTAGGTGAACAGAGCATTAGAAAATAGGAAATGTGGCCTACCATTTCTGTCCCACCTGGGATTTGAACCCGGAAATTCTCGATTGCAAGTCCAGAATGAACCCAACTGTACTACCGAGATCTTCAAATGAAGGTTATGTAATTATCAAATAGAACTGACTTTAAGTTTTGAGTGACATTTGTAAGATCATTGACATAAAAGAGAGATAGTTGTGGACCAAGTATACTACTCTGAGGAATGCCAATGTTAATTTGCAGAGTTGAAGAAGCAACTTCATTCACAGAAACATACTAGTGCCTGTCACTGAGGTAAGATTGAAGGGAGTGAACTCGGACTCCATAGTGTTGAAGGTTGAGGAGGAGGTTGTGGTGGTTATTGATAATAATGTGGCTGTATTTACAGAATGAGAGCTACCCCCCCCCCCCCCCCTGATGTCCTCTTTTCCCAGTACTCTGTCATATGATGCTTTGAAAGTGATGTTTCATTTTCCCCTTTCTACTCACCTGTTCTCTTTCATCCTCCCCATGCTTCTCACCTGTCCCTCTCACTCTGTTCCTGCTCTTTACCTAAATTTACCTGATAGACCACTATCTTATCTGTGGCCTCGACGAGGACAAGAAGCTGGTGGTTTGTCAAAAGTTCCCCCTCAGTTAATCCGGATGATTTTATCCAGCTAGATCTTGATGCAAAGTTTCAGCCTTTACGACTTTGGCGGGTAGGCAGTTCCATGGGTTCTTGCTGCTCCTCACCCCTTCCCTTGTTCGTCACCCTCCTATCCCTTTGCCCCTCACATTCAGCTCCTCATCTATCCCTCACACCTTTGTTCTCTCCTTTCCCTCTTCCATGCTCATCACCCTTCTCTAAACTTCTCGTGTTATCTCGCCCTCCAAGGGTCTGTCTAATTACCACAAGCTACCACAAACTACACAAACTTCAGAAAGCTTCCTGGCAATACGTTAGTAATGAATAAATATGATATATTAAGTTAGGCTGACCTAACCTAACCTAACCTATCCTAACCTATCCTAACCTAACCTAACCTAACCTAAATTAACCAAACCTAACCTAACCTAACCGAAGCTTGGATCGTCGACTTGATTTGGCGTCACCAGCTTTTTATTTTCGTCTAATTTCTTTATAAAAAGATACTTTTTCAGATTAAAATTATGTTTTTTCGTGTTGTACGTTCAGCACCAACATTATAATGAGTAAATATATCATATTTATTCATTACTAACGTATTGCCAGGAAGCTTTCTGAAGTTTGTGTAGTTTGTGGTAGCTTGTGGTAATTAGACGGACCGCCCTCCAATTTATTCCTCTTCTACTTTCCCACCCAACCCGTTCTCGCCCCCCCCCCCCCCCCCCCCCCCGCGGTCCATAGAATTACCCAAATCAGCCCAAATCGGCCCAAAACTACACAAATCGTCCTAGCATTACGTAAGTAATGAAGAAATATGATATATTTACTTACTATAATGTTGGTGCTACACGTAGAACATGATCAAACCTATTTTTACTCTGAAATCTAATTTCATAACGAAATGAGACGTAAATATGTGAGAGGTGACGCCATAGGAAGTCGACGGTCCAAGCGACAATTATGTGGAGCGACTTATCCAAGATATATGGTCGCCTGGAGAGTGTTTGCTGCCATATCAGCCTCCTGTACACAGTGATCCAGTCCTTTTCGTTCATTGAACACCGAACCCTACACGCCCTCTGATATATTGCTTAATTAACAAATATTCACAAATAAAGATTATATTTGTATATGTTATCAGAAAGGCAGATATAAAATTGTTTTTGTGAATCCATCACCGAGATTATACCTTATTAGAGGAAAAATATTCATACTTTAAACAAGGCTTCATGGCCGACGCTCTCCTTACCGATATGGGAACTATGACCTTCCGAAGATCAATGTTAATTTAATCTAGATATTGTAATAAACGAAGTTTTCTATGTCATCATAAAGACATAAATATAAGCTGCATGTTAATACTTTGGCATAAATATAACTGAAGTGAAAGTGAAGATATATGCCTTTTTATAGTTACTTGATGGCTCGCTCAGGGAGTGTGAAGGCCTCCACACAAGCCAATCAATTTTATAATTACTTTGCATATATGCAAAGTAACGCCATAGGTCTTTATGTCAGAATAAAGACATGTAGACGATAATGTAACTACATTTCAAGGAAAAATATCTTAATATAATTATTAAATGAATGCAAACTTATGGTTAAATAAATAGCCAATACCACACAATCGCCGGTGTCCGGACACATGAATAGTCGCATTAGGTGAAAGGAAATGTACCCAACCAGTTTGTGCACCCTATACTCATCCTCTGTGCGGTAATTTATTGTGCACCCCATACTCATCTTGTTACCAGTAGTTTGTGCAACCCATACTCATCCTGTGACCTGTAATTTATTGTGCATCCCATACTCATCCTGTTACCGGTAGTTTGTGCAGCCCATACCCATCCTGTGACCTGTAATTTATTGTGCAACCCATACTCATCCTGTGACCTGTAGTTTATTGTGCAGCTAATACTCATCCTGTGAGTCATAGGACATTGCGCAACCCTTTCTCATCGTGTGAAAAGAACACTGTTTCCCAAAAACGGTGGGTTTTCTGAGTGGAAGAGAACGTATGTCTGGAAGCTGACTTTAACCGCCCCAAGCTGCGCGCGCATGGACCCGAGGTTATATAAACCGGGACGGAGACGGCGTGGGCCCCTTTCCCAAGCCAGCAGCTGCTCTTACAAAACTAGATTATGTAAAACTAGATTAAAGTAAATTTATGTTTCTATCTTTCTTGTGACGTATAAAAATCTTACGTTTATTAACGATTCTGCGTGAAATAAGCATTGTTCTGAGATGAATATTGCGGATTTCCGGCTCTACGACCGATGAAAAATGCAACTTTTATACAACTACAAATATCTTTAGTTTTACTTTAAATTTTGTCCTGAAAGAGTTTTCATATATAGATCTAGTTTCGGCCGTTCTTCTGACATAAAAAGACCTTTGGTTTAATAAGTTATTAAGATGTTTTCAACAATATTACTAGGGCGTTCACCGATTCCAACATGGGCGACCCTTTTGGAAACGCATGGAAACGCAACACTTGGGTTGACCCGATTGACAGACTGGTTATATTCCAACAGGGTCTGAGACATTTGCACTTAATGTCTGAGACAAAAAAAAAAAAAAAAAAAAAATGCACTGGCGGGCGGCGTTCTTGCCAACTATATGGCTGTTAAGTTGAAAATTGTAACTGTTAAGAGCATTCAATTGTGGTTTTAATATTGAACAATTATACATATACGAAACAGACAAATCTGGTGTCCGAAATAGTAAAAATATTAGTGTGTGATGTGATCAATGTAAGGGGGATATTGGGTGTGCCTCGTATCCCCTACAACAACAAGAAGTTCGAGAGCGATGAGGCCGCCACCTACTAGCTTCAGGATGTCGTCGAATCTAAATCAACAATATACTACCGCCGCTACTTTCTCGGAAACGTAAGTACCTGCCGCTTTACTTCTCTCACCCTGCCTAGCCTGGCCTGGCCTGACCAGACCTGACCAGACCTGACCTAGCCTAGCCAGACCTGACCTGGCCTAGCCTTACCTAGCATAGTCTGACCTGACCTGACCTAGCCTTACCCAACACTAATCACCACCCGTGACAGCCCAAACGAATCGCAAATAAGTACACGTAACAAGTCATATGCCCGGACACTCTTTCACCTTGGGGACCGAGTGGTAACTATTGTATAGAAGAGCCGGCTCCCTGAGAGTGGTAAGAGGGCGTGATAAGAGGCTAACGTGTGGTCTTGAAGGAAGTCGATAAAGCAAACAATTTTCAAAAGGAAGGGCAGCATAACGAGCAGACAGGAATGGACAGACAGTCGGTTATCCCATAATGTGTAATACGCCCCGCACAGCATGGGTGGAGTGGGGGGGGGGGGGTTGTAGCAGGGCACAGTATGGTGATGGTGCGGGTGAAGTACACACCCACTGAATTTCTGCCATCAATAATTGTTTTCATAACCATTAGAACAATGGCATCCCTCCAGCCACCATCCTTCCACTGACCCCCTCCTCTGATCCTCCACCTCAGACAATAACCCCCCACACCCCCTCTCTCTTCCAGACATCAGCATGTCAAAATCAGTACCATAATGTGTTTAAACTATTTAAACTAAGTCATTGTGTATCTCAAGGTATCTTAATTCATTTGAAAGTGTACATGTGCATTCGTTCATATACTCGCCTAATTGTGTTTGCTGGGGTTGAGCTCTGGCTCTTTAGTTCCACCTCTCAACTGTCAATCAACAGGTGTACAGGTTTCTGAGCCTATTGGGCTCTATCATATCTACACTTGAACCTGTGTATGGAGTCAGCCTCCACCACATCACTTG